TGGATGTAGTCATAAGAACTAGCAGAGACCCCAATACATTTGGTGTGGATGTAGTCATAAGAAACTAGCAGAGACTCCCAATACATATGGTGTGGATGTATTCATAAGAAACTAGCAGAGACCCCCAATACATTTGCGGTAAAATTGGTATCTTTATTGCATCAGTACTTCTTTAGATACAGGATTCCTAGAACAATACAAAATAATTTTAATTGCAGACACCGAAATGTTTAAGCTGACTTGTCTTAGGCCTGACATTTGTTAAGCGTTTTTTAAGTATGACCGATATTTGATAAAGAGATAAATTAACGCTGTAACTTGAGTACGTTTTTTTTTTCGCTTTAGTTTAGGTAGGTCTAAACTTTACCTTATTTATTATTATCAATATACAATCTCCTTTTCGAGATTGTACGCGTTTACATTAAAAAAACGTCAAATTTCACCTTCGAAAACTCAGAAAATCCTTCTCAGATTCAGAAAGATCAACGATCAGGATCGTTTTTTGTAGCGTGATGAGGAGTCTCAACCTTAATGTGCCCATGAAATTAGGTACAAAAGCGATCACACTTTATGGAGTTATTGACCCCAAACTACAAAAATACCCTATCTCCCCATTATATATATATAAAAAAAATGCTGCAAAGTGATCCAGAACCCGGATATGGATCCGGTCCAAATTTGGAGAGGACTGTCCCATACTGACTTCCCCTCTTGTGTAAAAGTTTCGTGTACATCAATCTATCAGTTTTTGAGGTACTCGCGCGGAAACACAGACACACACACACACGGGCCCGATTGTAATACCCTCACCCCCCTCACTCCGGGGACAGGGTAATAAACTTATGTTAGGCTTTTTAGGTTGTTATTAACGTTAGGCTTTTTTAAAACTTTCATAAGCTTTTAATATATTGTTGTACAAAATGTTTACTAAAGTATATTTTATCCATCATTTATTTACATCCGTTGAAATGAAGTGCGCGCGCATTTTCAGGACAGACACAAACTGAGTATTATTACTATTATATTAAAAGAAGATCACTAAGGAAGGTAATGGCAATTGTCAAAAGTGATAAAGAATGTAATCGTTCAGAAAAAGAACAAAAAAAAAGAAGAGAGAGACAGAGAGAACTGATGAAACAGGAAAAAAAAAGAAGAAAGTGGAGTTCAAATACGACGAACGACACCGGGTTTTCAAAGTTTTATACACCTTAAAAAATAGTAAAGATATCAAACTCTGATAGAAATAATATTTACCTGTCCATGCACAGCCGTACACTTCGATTCGCATACACACAGTACGAAGCAGAATACTGTGTGGAACAAACCGTATTTTAGAAGCGATGATTGGAGGGTCTACTTTCCGTTTTGCAGGAACGTATGTATTTGTGTTGCCTTGAAGGAGCTGTAAGATGTAAAAAAAAAAAAGCGATAGCAGTAAATACACAGTAAATTAGGCATACGCTCCAAAATATTGATAATGATAAAGCAGAAGTGGGGTCTAATTTAGCTTTATCGTTTCTTTAAACGAAAGGGAGTGTGCTGTATAAACAATTTATGAATGTTTTCACACTAATTGTTGACAAGCATTTATGATGTTCGTTTTAATCAATGTTTACATAAAATTTCTAAATGCATTTTGGATCTTTAAGAATTGAAGCTGTTGAAGTGCAAGTTTACTCCGGGATATCCCTAGTAGGTATGAAATTAGTATATTATTTTGCTACTATACATAGTACTTAAAGAATCCAAACTTTAAAAAAAAGATTGTTTTACGTAGCTTACCTTCACCTTTTACTCAACATCAAAAATATATGCACGTAATTTATATAATTAATATAGACGTTTTTATCAATATCACTAAATATCGAGAGATGATGCAGATATGTAGTGTGCGCGACACACGATACATATGCTTGGTAGAGACTTATACATGACCACATGACAGATATTTAATAGGGAATAACACATGACTACACGATACACATACTTAAGTGGATAATTACCCATGACTACATGATACAGATATTTAATAGGGAATTACCCATGACTACACGATACACATACTTAAGTGGATAATTAATATTATATATTCATGCTTAATTCTCTACTAAATATTTCTATCGTGTGGTCGTGCATAATTCTCTATCAAACATCTGTATCATTTAATCATGGGTAATTCTCTACTAACTATTAAATATCTAAATACTAAATGCGACACACGTATGTAAATGAAGATACCTACATGGACATTGCCCTGAAAGGGGTCGGAGCTTGCCCTGAAATGGAACATTGCCCTGAAAGTGCGGTTTACTCCGACCCTCATGTCGTATCAACATCGACATTTAACAGTATCAAAACCACAGTTCGGAAGGAGGAAGAGGTCTTTTGTACCTGACGCCCCCTGGTCTATTAAAAGACCAAAATGCCGGTCGCGAAACTGAATAGTGCGATTATAAGTCAAGCTAGTGAAATATACGAGTTAATATTAATTGTACGTGGCACGAAAAGGCTATGTTAATTAAAACTGTGGACAATGGACAAAATTTAACATACTGTGAGTAATGCAACAATGGTTATTAACTAGGATTCAGTAACAGTGCAAGCAAAATAACAATTTCTGAGAGGGAGGAAGAGATCATCGCTGAATCTGACCCTCCCTGGTCCAAAACATGGATCTGATGAATAAGATTCTAATCCACTGGCTGCAGTGAATATATTAATGAGATGCACATGAAAACACCGACAAACAGACGAATACAGGGGGTAAAAAATAGTGCATAATTCTTAACTAAATATCTGTATTATATATCCATGCTTAATTCTTCACTAAATATTTCTATCGTATGGTCGTGCATAATTCTCTATTAAATATCTATATTATATATTCATGCTTAATTCTCTACTAAATATTTCTATCGTGTGGTCGTGCATAATTCTCTATTAAATATCTATTACACTTAGCGAACAGTTCCATATATGCGCATTACACTTAGCGAACAGTTCCATATATGCGCATTACACTTAGCGAACAGTTCCATATATGCGCATTACACTTAGCGAACAGTTCCATATATGCGCATTACACTTAGCGAACAGTTCCATATATGCGCACAACACATTTCACTCGTTTGAAACTAATATAATATATTTTACATAAAATACTCTTTTTTTTAAATGTATTTGTTTTAGTTAGTTTGTTTGTTTTGAATTTCGCGCAAAGCTACACGAGGGCTATCTGCGCTAGCCGTCCCTAATTTAACAGTGGAAGATTAGAGGGAAGGCAACTAGTCATCACCACCCACCGCCGACTCTTGGGCTAATCTTTTACCAACGAATAGTGGGATTGACCGTCACATTATAACGCTCCCACGGCTGAAAGATTCAAACCCGCGACCCTCAGATTGCGAGTCGAGTGGCCTAACCACCTGGCCATGCCGGGCCAATTTGTTTTAGTCCAAACTAATATAGGGTTTAAGGTCTAGTAGTAGGTGGTCTTATTAAATCCTTTTTTCTAGAATATATGCGCACAGGTAAGAGATACTTAGGCCTACTTCCATCATGTATGTAGTAGCGATCAAGTTCACAGAGTAGGTCATTTTTTTGCCAATTTTTCTCAAAGTAATTTAGCCTATTATGCAAGAGTCTATCGGCTATAGTTTGTATGTTTGCATAACTGTGCATAAATTTTGATGAAGTGCTACGGGGCACTTTCTATGCTGTGGTAATAAGTGAGTTTTGTATAAATTGTAGTTCATTTATGTGTTTGGGAGCTATGTTTATCTATGCGGGGCATGCCTATTACACATATAGATTTTTGGTTTTAAAATTCCCGCGCGAGGTGTTGGATCCATTGACAATCTTCTATATATATATATCGCCATACAGTAAGCCAATTATTTCCGTCTTCTATGCGTCAGTTTCCCTCAAGAAGTCAGAGAGGCCTGAACGACAACACCTCGCTGCTGAAGTAGCAAGAGCCGCCGAAGCTGAATAAAAATCCAGATTAGTTTATAGATAGCATTAACTCTGATAAGTTGACATTGTGAATAGAAAAGAAACAAAACCAAGTGAATGGGTTAAAAAATGAAAATGATTAAACAATACTGCTTACGATTCCGATCAAGAAAATCAAACTATGAAATATTGAAGTTCCTTTTTCACACGAAACTTTATGTTCCAGTGACTTACAAACTGTACACTAGAAACAATAATACCGGATGGGTGAATAAAATCCTTTGACATCCTGCTCAGGTAGACATTTATACAATACAGCGTTAAACAACACCAGAGGTCTGATTCTAAGACTGAATTATTATATACAGACGTTTATCCAATACAGCGGTTAAACGACACCAGGGGTCTGATTCTAAGATTGAATTATTATATATACAGACGTTTATCCAATACAGCGTTAAACGACACCAGGGGTCTGATTCTAAGATTGAATTATTATATATACAGACGTTTATCCAATACAGCGTTAAACAACACCAGAGGTCTGATTCTAAGACTGAATTATTATATATATAGACGTTTAATCAATGCAGCGTTAAACGACACCAGAGGTCTGATTCTAAGACTGAATTATTATATAAACAAACACAAACAAAGGAAGTG